CCTCTGCTTCTATGAATATCAAATAAATAGTAATAGTAGTTAAATAGTAATTCATGTGACTATTTTTAAGACATTTTTCCTCTTCTGAAACATAAAAGAATCTCAACCTGGCACACTGCCCTATCCTCCGTACACACAACAGAAACTCAACTATACCTCTTAAAGGTCAACAACCCATTAGAAACATGAGCAAAAACAAAACACACGCCCACATACACACACACACACACACACACAAAACAGGCTGTTTGCAGAAAATAAAATGCAACAGAAAAGGGGTGCAGACTATTCATAATGAAAAAGATACAAAATAAAATGAAGTACCTTTTTTCATGACTACCTGATTAACTGAGATGAAGAGTTGATGCCCAGAGTTGGCAAGAAACGGCCACTCCCTCACACTCACACTAGGCACTAACGGGTGCAGGCAGTGCTGTGGTATAGACCAAATCCTAAATGCACATTCTCTGTTACCTTACAGACACATAGGATAAGTGACCCAAAAGATACACATGCAAGAATGTTCCCAGGCGTCCTGTTAAAACACAAACCCTGGAAATAACGTAAAGGCTCCACCAAGAGGGGTCTGCCCCAAACAGTGGCTCTTGCTTGGACCTTAAGTGCCCAGCACACAGTCAGTTGCCTTTGCAGTTGCCACATTCCGGGTGATTCCACCCGCAGAGAGGCAGGACCTGACTGTCAGGCACCCTGACGAGGCCATGTGCACACCATCGCAGCTGAAATCCAGGTCACAGCGGTTTGCTTTAGCTTCTCGTCTACGTCACAGTGGGGCATGATGCTGGTTCTTTAAAAGTGGTCTTGAGAAGGATGAGTGATTTATCCATTTGCAATTAATAAAGGACAAATTTTAAAATATGTTATAAAAAGGAACGGTACACCTGAGAATTGCTGGATTAAAAAAAATGATAAGGATGAGAAACAACAGGAGACTCTGTAGTTATTTTAAAAGATTAAGGCAATATTACATGTATTGTAATGAAACAATCGTAAGTGGTAGTGTCAACTTTTTTAAAATGCAGATCAGGGTATAGGGTATGGTCCCATTTGTGTTTTTCTGAAAAAGATTCTAGAAAAAAACTTCTTGGAATGATTTTTAAAAAAACACCGTTAAACTACATAGATGATAGAGTGTTATTCTACATTGCTGTGCTTTGGTATAATCCAAGTTTTACCACTTGAATGTATTATTTTTATAATTTCAAACCCTAGTTAAATGAAATCATTAAAAAAAATTTTCAGGGTGCTGGGGTGGCTCAGTCAGTTAAGCATCTGCCTTTGGCTCAGGTCATGTTCCCAGGGTCCTGGGATGGAGCCCCACATCGGGTTCCCTGCTCATCGGGGAGTCGGCTTCTCCCTCTCCCTTTGTGTGCACGCACTCTCTCTCGCTCTCTCTCAAATAAAGAAAATCTTAAAAAAAAAAAAAAAAGATTCTCTTTCCCTCTCCCTCTGCCCCTCCCCCTGCTTACTTGCTCTAGCACTCTCTGTCTCTAAAAAAAAAATTTTCACAATGGAGGAAGTTCATTGAAATAGGCTCAGCAAATGCCACTGCTGGGTCTAAACCCCAAGGACCCCTATTTTACATGAGAGGACAGGCCACTCCACTCTACGCCTCCTTAAAGGTGTGGGTGATAACAATACCCACCCCACCCCCTACCCTAGCAGGGTTGTGCCGAGGACGAAATGAGTTTCCCCAGCGGTGCTTGGAAGCCTGCTAGGTAGGCATGGAGCAACCACTTGTAAGGTCAGCCTGTTGTTAGCATTTGTGATGGCTAACTGTCAACCTCACTGAGCCATGGGATGACCAGATAGTTGACCAAACATTATTCGGGGTGTTTCTGTGAAGGAATCTTTGGAAGAGATCAACATTTAAATCAGTAGACAGAGTAAAGCAGACTGCCCTCCTTAATGTGGGTGGGCCTCATCCAATCTGGTGAAGGCCTGAATAGAACAAAGAGACCTCCCTTGAGTAAGACAATCCTCCAGCCTGACTGCCTTGGAGCTGACATCAACTTTTTCCTGCCTTTGGACTCAAACTGAAACATTGGCCCTTCCTAGCTTGCACGCTGCTGGTCTTTGGCCTGGAGCTACACCACTGGGTCCCCTGGGCCTCCAGCTTGCTGACTGCAGACCTTGGGACTTGTCAGCCTCCATAATCCCGTGAGTCAATTCTTTATAATAAACCTCTTTATATATGTATATCCTGTTGGTTCTGTCTCTCCGGAGAGCCCTGACTAATACAAGATTTATGAAATCTGATTTGTTCCAGGTCTCATTACAGCTATAAAGTTCCAGTTCATGATGGTCTCAGCTGGAAGGGCTCAAATCCGTCAATGTTCACACGGGGGGTGGGGGGGCAGGGAACACAGACAGGTCTCTCTGGGCCGCAAGTCCCAGAGTCACCGCTGAACTGCACAGACAGGGGAACATCTGAACCCAGCTGCAAGGGCTGCTCCTGGCAGCCACGCACCCTCTCTCGCCAAATCCCTGGAAAGCCCCTACAGCAGACCCTGGCCAAGGGGGCAAACAGGGTGCTGAGGCCAGAGGCCCACACCTGGCCCCTCAGCCAGCAAATGCCTCTGAACCCTGGTCTGGTCACATCGAAAAGAGGGCACCTTGACAAAAGCATGCATGAAGCGACCTCACTCTGATACCTGCAAATCAAATTAATATAAATCCGTTATGAAAATGGAGCTTCTGAAGGAACACCATGAGGAATGCTATTTGCTGCTGGGATCGATGTTCTGAAGCCCCTGCAAAGCACCCCTGATTAATACTTTAAAATAAGATCACTCTGGGGGCGCCTGGGTGGCTCAGGCAGTTAAGCATCTGCCTTCGGCTCAGGTCATGATCTCAGGGTCCTGGGATAGAGCCCCGCATTAGGCTCCCTGCTCAATGGGAAGCCTGCTTCTCCCTCTGCCTCTGCCCCTGCTCCCTGCTTGTGTGCTCTCTCACTCTCTCTCTCTCAAATAATAAAATCTTTAAAAAGAATAATAAGATCCCTCTTTAATTTTGTTTAACATAATTTACTATTTGCCAGCTTCCTGAAATGGTTTAAAATGGGTAAAGACTAACAGGAATACACTGGACACTTTCAAAACTTGTTTCAAATTCAAAACGAAAACCAATTAGGAAGATAAAAATATATGTATCAAGCACCTGGAACTACAGCTTCCCGACTGTATGCTAAGAATCTTACTAACGCGTTTTACCTAAATTTTACAATGTATGTCAAAGACCCTGTGTGACAGGGCGCCTGGGTGGCTCAGATGGTTAAGCATCTGCCTTCGGCTCAGGTCATGATCCCGGAGTCCCGGGATCGAATCCCGCATTGGGCTCCCTGCTCCTTGGGAGCCTGCTTCTCCCTCTGCCTCTCTCTCTCTCTCATGAATAAATAAATAAAATCTTTAAAAAAAAAATAAAAATAAAAACACCCTGTGTGACAAACATTCTCCCCACTCACCTCACAATGACGGACTGATGGGGAAGGAGGATCAGCAGTTGGCCTCCACAATCACTTATAGGGTACTTAAAAGACAGATGTGAATGACTGCGTGTTTTGCTGAAGATTAAACATTAGCTCTGGAAATCAGTGTACGAGGCCTTCCCCCTGCATTCCATGAGCAAAAACCAACTGCTAAACAGAGCACATTCCACTAAGAAGAAAAGAACACTTCCAAGTTATGAGTTTAGAAAACATGTGTAATTCCCTGGATTCTAATTCACATCTTCTCGCCCCGTGAAAGAAGGGATAGTTCACGGTCCATTCTTTTCTGTTTCATCCAGCCAAGTACCATTTACGTTATAACTTTTCAACAGAAAACACATGAGGAATTTTACATCAGACACGAACCAATAAAAGCAAAGACGTTAAACCGAATTCATAAAAAACACCCATAATATTTTCTCTGAGCATGTTTTCAGAGGATAAACCATCTAGTTTGATGGCTTAAGCTAGTGATGGAAAAGGAACAAATCCTAAACAGTGGATTTGCAGAGTGGGAGCAATTCTCAGGGGGCCGCCCCTGGTCAGCTACACCTCCGCCCACCCCCAGCACTTGGGGCAAGAACCAGTTCTCATGCTGGACCCCAGCAAAATGCTGGCCTTGAGGAGTTCTTCTGATTCGGTGAGAATCATGAAACATGCCTGAAGGAGCTTTACATAGCCCCCCCACGCTCACACACTCACGGTACCCCATCATTTCTCATCCAAACTCTTAAATGTCCTGAAAAACTGAACCAATTCAACCAGGCCGAGAGGGGCTCGCCTCAGTTTACTGGGTTTGGGCCCAGACAGCTCTTGGTAACAGCATGTAGGCAGGGCAGATACCAGACACTCATCCATCATCGGACTCTGATCGGCCCCCCAGCAGGGGAGACAAGCCAGAGCAGAGCTGATTCGCAAGCCCTCCATCACTGGGGTGTGGATCAGAGGTACGGACGGGGCCAAGCACACTTAGTAAAGAAAACAAAACAAAACAAAACAAAACAAAAAAAACAGGAAAGGCAGAAAAGAGAGGAGGAGGAAGGGAGACGCTAACTCTGTTCTTCGCTTTTCAAAAAAGTCCTCACTGACCCAGATGCCAGGTGAGGTTCTGAGAAACCAGGATGAAGACACAGAATTAGGAAAAACTGAAGAGTTGGAGAGGCCAGAGCAGGGCTTGGAGACCCTCCCTGTTTAGCTGCTGCAAAGAACCACAAGGGAAAGGTGGTGGAAGCCCGGGAGGCCTGGTCCCAACTCAGAGCTGCCCCTCTCGGCCGCGTGTCACTGCTTCCCCTGAGCCTCTGGGATGAGGGGACGAGGCGGCAGCAGCCTCTAAGGACCCTCGGCTCTGCCTTTTGGTGATGCGATACTGCAATTTCCCCACACGTGCCCAAGGACGACCCGCCAAGCAGAACAGGGCAGGAGAGACACTATTTCTCCTGTGGTCTCCTCTCCTTTCCGGCCACACTGCAGAGAAAACAAACAGCAGACAACTTACCACAGGAGTCTGTCCGAATGAGCTTGCCTTGGCCGAGTCCTGGCAGAGGCTGGGCCCCGACGGGCTGCCCTAACTGAAGTACCAATGCCATGTACAGAAATCAACTCCAAAGGCAGTTCAGTGAGAAAGGGGATTCTCCATGAGAACCCCAGCGCGGGCAGGACCTCGGCACAGCTACCTTCCTGTGCCTTCCTCGGCAGCTTTCTCGGTTTGCTTGTTGGGGCAAATCCTAAGATTGTGAGCTGCTCCGGAGGCACAATGGGTTACGTAACTCCAGGCAGCCTAGGCACCCTATCGGCTCATCTTGTTAAACCGCCCCAAAGAGAAAATGACGCACCCCAAAATGTGATATCCTTAAGTTGAGGGGAGGGGGGAGGAGCAGGGGAGCAGGGCTTTGTGCTGGACATTGGGCTCTGCCTAAAAATGAAAGAGGAACAAAAAGTCTGCTGTTCACCTCACTGCTCGCTGGGAACCAGGGGCGGAGGGTATTTATCAGAGACCGGATGCCAAGCGGGCTCCCGGGACTGCACTTGGCGAAGCCCCTGGAGGCACAGAGGCATTCTTGGGGACACTCCAGGTCTCTCCGAGGATATTTTTCACTCTGTGTCCTCCTCTCAGTGACCACCCAGTAAGACTTGAACCTGAGCAGGTCCTGCATCATCGGGCTGCCCAGCACCTTGAACACGTAACGGGGTCTGTGCTTACACTCCTGTTTACTGAGCCACCGCCAAACGGGACAGCACTGAGCTCTGCTGCTCAGCTGTCCTCGGGGCTTGCCACCGATGTCCCAGCAAAGGGCCCCCAGGCACGACGCCCTGTGGCGTTTGAAGTTTCAGCACTGCATTCTACCATTTCTTTGTCCTCGGCTGTCACGTTCAGAGAAAGTAAAACTATTTCAACAGGTTGGACGTTTCCTGGATTTCACTGGCACAGATGCCACTGGAAGCCTGGGGGTTAGTTCACATGCTTGGACAAATGAGGACGCAGTTGGGACACTGCCTCCTCCAGGAAGCCCTATGGGTCCTCCCCCAAACTTCCCCCTCCGAGGCTCGGCCAGGCACCCCCCCTCAGCGTGCTCCCATGTGCCCATGCTTATCACTGTGCTAACCACGGTGCACTGTCCATTTTCACTTGCTCATCTGTCCACCCCACTGGACTGTATTCCTGGAGGGGCCCAGAACTCCTGTTCCGGGGTCACAACCTGCACGCAAATCTCACCCCTCAGAGCTCAGGGATCTTAGGCAGGATGCTGAGCCTCTCATGATTTAGTCTCTTTACCTGTAAAAAGGGGATAATAGACCCCACTTGCCAAGCACTGGCCTCACTGAGGTGCTATTTTAGTCACTGGGATTCAGGGCTGCACAAAGTCCTTGCCCTAAAATACGAACACATAGTAGCTCATGACTAAGTCCCAGGAAAGGGAGAAGGGCAGTCACGAAAAGGCCTCTAATGAAATGCCCTTTGGAGAAAGTGAAGAGGGAATCATGAGGACATCGGGGGGTAAAGTGATCCAGGTGCTGGGCAGCAGCAAGAACAAAGGCCCTGAGGCAGCACATTCCTGGTGAGTCCAAGGATTAGCAAAGTGGCCAATGTGTCTGGGGTGGAGTGGGCACAGATGAGACAGTCAGGGGGGTAGGAAAGCCCTGTCACTGAGACCGCAACCTGCCACAGTCAGAGGAGGAACCCACTGGAGGTCTGGAGCAGAAGAGTTAAATAAATCATCTGACTGTGTGTTTAAAAAGCCTCTTTGGTGGGTAGACAGAGAACAGACTGCACAGAAGCAAGCAGGGAAGCAGGAGGCCCAATTAGGAGGTCGCTGCAATAATCCAGGCACAAGAGGAAGGTGGCACAGAACAGGGCAGATGCCGCAGAGCTGGTGAGAAGCTGTCAAATTCTGGACACGCTGAAGACACAGCCAACAGACTTCCCAGCAAACTGGGGTGTGAAAGATACAGAGGCCATGGATGCCTCCGAGGTATCTGGCCTGGGCAGGAGTACCATTTATAAAGACAGGGTAGACCACAGTCTAAAAGCAGGCAAAGGTGGAAATCGGTTCATTTTTGGCTGTTCGAGTTTAAGATACCTATAGGCATCCAGGCAAAGATGTTGTATGTGGAGTTAAACCAACACGTCTGGCCTCCAGGGGAGGGGATTAGTCTGAGGACAGGAGCAGGACAGGGGTCAGCGTGGGGCAGATTTTAAATCCTGGTGACTGGGGGAGATCACCTAGGGCACAGGTGCTGATGAGAGACTGAGGGGCTAGAAGGACTGAGCCCTGGGCCCTCCAACAGCCCCAGGCTTGGGAGGACCAGCAGCCAGCAAGGTAGGAGAACAGGAGAATCAGGGAGGCAAGGGAGGACTCGATTTCCAGGAGAAGGGAGTGGTCGGCAGTGTCAACCCCTGCTGAAAAGGTAAGGAGATGAAGCCTGAGGACGGACCCCTGCACTGGACGAGGCCCTCAGTGCTGGGGGAATGGGGGCCTCGCAGCCTGCTCGCACTGGACGCAGGGGAGAACAGAAGAGAAGATGCAGTGAGCACAGAGAGGAGCAGAGACATGGGTACGGGCACTGGCCGTGGGGGCCGCGAATGAGTCTTTTTACAAAGGGAGATATCACAGCACGTTTCTGTGCTCACAGGAGAGCTCCATGAGCAAGGGGAAATGGATGACGTGGAGGGAGAGGAGCTGGAAGAAATGTCTCCTTCCAGAAGTGGGCAGGCCAGCAGGGGTGGGATTCAGTGCACGAGCAGCCAGAGGGCCACTCACTCGTGGGGCTGGAGCCCAGCATAAGGGCTAGGCACCCAGGCTGGGATCCCGGGCCAGCCCGGTGGCCCTCCGTACTTGGGACACTCCTGATACACAGGAGGTCCCCCAGGCTTAACTGTGAGACAGAGCAGTGGAAAGCTACTGGAAGCAAATCTGCACATTTTCAGCTGTCACCGGGCATTATTTCAAACAGGAGGAGAAAAGTAAACACTGCAGACAAAATGAGAACCAGGGCGAACTTTGATATGAAGGCATCAGGATGTAACTCTAACAATGCTCCTCGCTGCTGTCTGTGCACTGCAGACTACACCGTATCTGCTCGGAGCCCCTGCATGCGCTGTCCCGATGATCCCTCGGGGGGGAAGGGAACAAGCAAGAGCTCCAACATGATGAACTCTGCTCCTGGGACACGGGGAAGGTGTGACTGATGCAAGCATCTGTAGGAAGCGCTATCCAGGCAAGCCTTGGCAGTAGGTGCCGGGCACCGCAAGCAGTTCTCCAGGTTTGCACCCCACAAGGCAGTCGTGTGTGATCTCCATTCCACCTGTCTTTATGTGTGAATCAGACACTGAGCCTCGGGAGGGGCGGGGGAGCACCAAACTACACTGAGCATCACTACAGGCTGCTCAGGGTTCAAAGTTTCCATCCTTAAACTTCACGGCGATTCTTCATCTCACGTGGGTTCTGCATGGCGGGGCTCAGAATCCCAAAGCTCAGACTCTCTGCACTCAGACTTTTCCTCCCCGGCCCTTCACACCTCCCCCAGACCCACTCCTGTGGCCACGCCCCTAGGCCCCCCACTCTGTCCCAGGCAGGAAAGGCCCCCTTACCGGTGATGGTGCAGGCATCCCGGTACCCTCTGCAGCTGGGAGCATCTTCCACAGCCTCGCTTACATAGTGCTCCTCAGGGATGCCCGGGCTGCAGGCTAGGACTGCATGGTTGCACGCCTCCAAAGGGGGCACAGAGTTGGCCGAAGTGTCGTCGTGCGGAGCTGTGGCGTCCAGCTTGGCAGGTTTCACAGGGAGGTGCCCACTGCCATCGGGGGCCCCGTTGCCGGAGTCTGGGGCAGTCGGGTAGACAGCCCCTGGTAGGTCTGGCACACCAGCAGGGGCTCCTTACAGGGAATCTATGGGACAATCCAGAGAGAAGAGTTAGTAAAGTCTCTGGCGGGCGGGGGGAGGACAAAATAAGGGCCCTGAGATGATGTGGGTTCAGATCACAAATTCTGCAAAGTGTTTCCTTCAAACCAATTCTTCGATTTTGATAAAAGAAACTGCAGTAAATTGTGGACATGCTTTAGCACAACGGTTCTCAAAGTGTGACCCGAGAACCCCTGGGGTTCCCTGAGACCAGTTTGAAGGGCTCACCAGGTCAGATTTTCTAAGGTAGTTCACTCTCACTCTCTCTCACAGAGCACAGGGGAGTTTTCCGGAGACCACATGATGTGTGGTGACACCTTGTCCTGAAGGCTTATTAATGGCATGTGCACTTCTGTACCACTGTGGCTTAAATTTTTCTGTTTTGATTTCTAATACAATACATATGAATCAATGTAACACCTATGAACAAAAGCTCTCTGGGATCCTCACTAATTTTTAAGGGATCCTGGGACCAATAAAGTGAGAATTACTGCTCTAGTATATAGTTCTTTTTTTTAAATAAGTATAACAACAATCAGTACAGTTAATAGTTAATAACCAGTATAGTTCTTTTTTTTTTAATAAGAAAGAAAACAAAAAGAGGGGAAAGCTAACAGACATTTTACCCAACACCAACACGGCACAGTCAGTCCGGACCGAAAACCACAGCCCTAGGTCTGTGACCTTTCCCTCCACAAGAGGTTATTTACCACAATACACCAAGAGTTCCAATTAGATATAAATGAATTCAGCCCTCATTAGAGTGAATACACAAATACAACGTGGGAAGGAGCTGGGGAGCCTGTAGATCCCTGGTGAAAAGTGAAAGGTAACCAGGGATAAAACCAGATTGTAACATCTAGTCAGTGATTCAAATACAAACGGATAAGCCTCCTGATAAGAAAAAGCCTGGAATTCCCAAGCAGAATCCCAAAAACATTGCAGGCTGCAGAGGCCTGAGGAGGCAGACTAGGAGACCTCCAGAAGAGACCTGTGAGCCAATGAAGCTACTGTTTTATGCAAAGACAACAGAAAGACATTGTCAGATATTTAAAAAGCTTAAAGATCTGATGCCCGATACTCCTGGGGAAGCTCCAGCCAGGTATGCCAACCACACCTTACGGGCTCCCACTAATGAACAGATGAACGGAAAGAATTCGAAGGTGAGGAAGGCCTGCTACAGTAAAATGGCAGTGAAATTAAACCAGGGACACTTAGAATTAATGTCTAAATAATGCGCATGATTCACAAACCTGAAGCAAACAGCTCAAAAGGGAAAAAAAAAATGGTCGAAGGATATAAAGATTCTCTAGTCCCCAAAAAAGAAATACACAAACACACACACACACACACACACCAAATATGTTAAGGAACCGTAATAGTGATCTCCCCCCACCCAAAAAAA